AGTGCAGATTATGTCCACGAAAGGCAGAAAATGTGATGAAAAGTCTGATGACAAGAGATAATGAACATTTAATGTTGTGTGTCCATCTTTCGATGGAAAATTTTAGTTAGAATAACATTGTCCGATACATTCAGAATGAACATTTAAGATGGTTAAAGAAACATTGAACGAATAACTTTAGTATTACATTGTCTTATGACAATGTAATACTAGGTCTATGCTTTTACAGTGTATGGGTGTGAGGTTCAATTCCTCACTTGTTGGGGTACTGGTTGTGCCACCCGATTACTTTATACCATAGCACTATTTGTCCTTGTAAATAGGTATATTGTGAAAATAAAATAAAACTTACCTGACGCGCTCAGTGTTAAGTTTTCATTCGTTCTCTTCGGAGTTTGTCTTATTCATTCGTTCTCTTCAGAGTTTGTCTTATTCACGGTCTCTTCGGAGTCCGTTTCGGTCGTTGGGATTTAGCACAGTGCGCCGGAGTACAGTTGTTTTGCACTCCAGAGGTTGGTAGCCCTAGTCTTTGCCTACAGTTCTGCCCTGTAGGACATGGGCAATCTCTGGATGTTTTTACCTGCTGCTCATTGCACTTTCCCACCTGGGATTGAGTTAGTAGCCTTTAAACATAAAACTTACTTGACACGAGAGGCACCTTGATCAACTAGGAGGTCCTCTCAGGATGAGGCCCTTTCATTGCACTTCGACTGGGTTGACTCCTGCGATTACCCCTAATGTGGGTAACTCGAGCGTATAATTTCTGGTAGTGGGGACCTGCGTTTGCGCTCGTCCCCTTCAACATATAATATCAATGTATAAAGCCGGGATATTTCCTCCTAACATTGCCGCGTGTCGATTGTTTTTGTATAGCATCAGATGTCAAACATATCGTTTATCCAAAGAAGACACTCTACATATATTCTCCGTGCCGAAATCTCCATCTCGTGTTCATATTATGTGGTAAGTAAAGTTATATTTTATAAACCTGAGGAACCCCCGAATCGCCAAACCACTTGCCATAATGGGAGATCAACAGCTGCACATGCGCAGTTCGCAATGGGGCGCAGCCGACTGCCCAAATACGCAGAATAAAACTTTCAGTTTAAAAACAGTAACATTAAACGTAAACGGAATAGCGAGGGCACAGAAACGCCAACAAGTCTTTGCTTATCTACGAACCCTTCAGGCGGGCATTTATTGCCTACAAGAAACTCACAGATGCAGCAAGACAGAAACAAAGAAATGGACGGAAGAATGGGGAGGACAGGGTTTTTGGAGCCTAGGCTCTAAACATTGAAATAACGGAAACGACAGTAAATGACGATGGACGTATTATTTTGTTAATAATGCAACACAATGACAGGGAAATAAACTTGATCTGTATTTATGCACCAACCGATGATACGCAGAGAAGACGTTTCTTTGAAACTCTGGGAAATATCACCATTACCACGCAGTATTTTATTGTCGCGGGCGATTTTAACTGTATTGCGGAACTGACTCTAGATAAGGTGGGAGGAAATCCTGCGAGAGGTCTGGCAGGGAATGAAGAGCTGATGACATGGACAAACACTTTAGGACTAACCAATGCGTGGAGAGCTCAACATCCAAAGGCAAGGAAATTTACCTGGAGCAAACCAGATCAATCAATCCAAACACGAATAGACCGCATATTCATACCTAAAGAACTGGCGGAGAAAGCAGATTCAAACATAGTTGTATGCTCCCTATCGGACCACAAAGCTGTGATAACGACCATCCCATTCCCCACAGAACAACCGAGAGGACCAGGGGTGTGGAAGCTCAATAACGATCTCTTGACGGACTTCATGTACCTACACGAAATCAACACCTTTTTGGACTACTGGCTGACCCAACAAGATAGCCATGATGATATAGGAGAGTGGTGGGAGGAGCTAAAGCAGCACATATAATATTCATGTATAAATGTATAAAACCGTTTTTTTCCAAACACTGCCGTGTGTCGATTGTTTTTGTATAGAATCAGATGTCAAACATATCATTTATCACAGAAGACACTCTATATATATATTCTCTGTGCCGAAATCTCCATCTCGTGTTTGTATTATATGGTAAGTAAACCTATACACGCTTATATTCTGTAAGCACTTCGAGTCTTTGCACACTATTAAATTAATTTGCTGTATAAAGCAATTTGCTTGCCAGCAGAATTTCAGTCCATCGCACGTACATTCCAAGCGCCGATTAACTGGCTCGCGTGTCACTCAAACGCACATGTTTTGCCGGTCGAACTTATAGAATACCAAGTAAACATTTATTCGAACATCGCATTATTTCACGGTGCGTGACCCGAAACCTTTCCGGGTCACAATGCAATTTGCGAGTGAAAGAAGCTCAACCCATTCACGGATCTTTAAGCAGCGCGAAAGCCGATATGTTTGCAACTCTCGTCTCACAGTCCATGCCACACGGCTGCCGTGCCCCTCTCCATGACCGCACGCGCGTGCGCGAGAGAACCACGAGAGTCGCGGTGGGCAATCACCACAGACTTGACGTGCTTGTGCGATGAGTAATCAACCGTTTGTCGACGTCATAATCGCTCGCAAGCAAGCTCCTTCTCACCGCGTTTTCGTGGCACAAGTGTTCGGAAGAAATATGTGTGGCAAACGGAGAAGAAGGCATCGCTTCTCGGCCTTTTGGCTAAGTGAGAAGAGTACTGGAAGTTTTTGGATTGTGGTCAATCTCCTGCTATTGAACAAGAAGTTCCTGATCGAAGAAAGAAGTTATCTTGCTGTTATTATCTTGTCCTGGTCTTGCTGCCTTGGTCTTGTTTTGGTCCCGCTGCCTTGGTCCTTCTACCTTGGTCTTGCCTTGGTCCTCTTGCCTTGGTCTTTGGCTTGGTTTCTTTTTGGTGTTTGTGCTGTTTGCTTGTCTCTGTGTCACATTTTGTTGGCCGTAGGTTGGCGCCTGCGCTGTGAGTGTGTGGTATATATTGTGTGCACCGCAAGTATATTGTGGTTTAATTTGTTATATAAGTTGTGTGAGTTTTTTCTGGTTATTCCCAATCCAGGGACCCTAAAGGGGGTAACTGAAGGGAGGGGGTCTTCAGTTCTTTTTGTATTTTTGATTGGGGGGTCGTGCTTGATGATTCCCCGATAGCCTGTTTCTTGTTAAGTGTACTTTAAGTTAACACTGCGGTGCACATCTTCACATAATTATTGGTTTGTCCATTAATTAATTCTTTGTTTCAACTTTTTTTCATAATTTAAATACACATCTAATAGTCATTTAATTATGATTCCGTTTATAAATCGGACGGCTGATATTCTTTTGTCCGATCATATTGAAGCTTGCGATGTAAACGTACGCGAGGTTATAGATGATTTCCGTGGTCAATTTGACAACTTTACGGATATTTTTGAGCCGATAGTTTTTATGGCGCCTGGCCGTTATCATATTACGTGTAAAAGCGCGCGAAAATTAGAAGCGGTCATCCTGTAGTCTCGTTCGTGGTCATCCTGTAGTCTTTAAGCCGATTTCCATATTTAAATGGGTTAACATCACCTGTTTATCTTATGGTGTCCCTGATGAGGAAATTACCATAGCTATGGCAATTTATGGTCCCATTAAATTAATTCGCAACGAGCAATATTCTCGTGTATATACGGGTGTTCGTAATATCTTAATGGAAGTGATTAATGATATACCGACGTGTCTTCGCATCGCTGGTCATTGGTGCACAGTTCATTACAAAGGTCAAAAGCGGCCTTGTTTCTCCTGTGGCAAGGAAGGGCACTTCAGTAGCAAATTTCCTGACAAGCATATTCAACTGCCTCCTACTTTGCCTGTTATTCCAACCGTGGCTCCTACTGGTGTTTCTGAAGCTGGTACTTCTGGTGAGGTTGAAACTCGTCATGTTCTTAATGATCTGCTGTTGCAAGTCAGTGATGGGTTGGTCAATGGTGTGACCTTCAACCAGCCTTCTATTAATGCTGCTTTGGTGGTAGTGGAGCATCCTGCCTCTTTTGCGTCCGTTCTTTCTTGGGATAATGATAATGCCCCATCTACTAGTAGTTCTTGATGTCGTTCAGTCTTCCCAGGATCAGGGAATACGTGAAGTAATCGATGAGGAAGTCTCTGCGGTGGTGCAGCGTGTTGTCTTGCCTGAGTCTGTCCTCCCTGTGGGTGAAGATGCCGATGTTCATGTTGGTCAGGAGCAGTCGGCGGGTTTATCTTTGGCATCCTCAGAGGTGGAGGAAACTCCTCTCGAAGCACACGATGATCTGCCTCTTGGTGACAATGGGTCACCTCGTCCCTCGAAATTGACCTCCAAACGAGGGTGTCCTCGCAAATGGAAGCCTCGATCAAGATCTCGTTCACCTCTTCGTGATGAAGCAACTTACCAGTTGTCTTCCTCAACAGATTCACGCCCTGAAGAATTCAATGGTTTTTCTTTTGAGTCCGAATCTGTTAAATCCCAAGTTTTGTCTCCCTCCATGTGTGATGATGGTGATGGTGGTAAATCTCCTGACAACATTTTTGCATCCCTTACGGCCTCTGATATTTGGAATTCCCCTTTAACTCAATTCCCACCGAATCTTCCTTGTGACCCGCAAGAAAGAATACACTTTCCTACTAAACCAGCAGCCTCACAAGCTTCTGAAGAATCTTCCTTTATTTCGCTTTTTTTGCGCCTTCTGATTCTCCTCCCAACGGACAGGAATCGTCGTAAATAGCTTCTTTGATCTTATCCAATTTGTTACCAATTTACTCAGTTTATTTCTTTTTTTATGAACATGGAGAATAATAATTCCATTTCTATATTAATGTTGAACATTCAGGGCTTACGAGCTCTTTCTAATCGTTCCACATTATTTTCTTGGTTGAATTGCATGAAAGCGGATGTTATATGCTTACAGGAGACTCATTCTACTTCGGCGGATGAATTTACTAATTGGATACGTTATGAGTCAGATCACGGTAATAATCTTCAGCGTTATTCTGTTGTTTCGTCGCCTGGATCTGCACGAAGCTCGGGTGTTGCTAGCCTTTACAAGCCATCACTCAAGTTGGAATATTCTTTTTGCGATGATGATGGTCGTCTCGTGGTTGCTCATTTGTCTGATGTTGCTAGTGAGTCATCTGTTTTTCAAGTTGCAAACATTTACGGTCCCAATCGAAAGCAGCTTGGGGAAGCATTTTTTACATCTATTCTGCCTCAGATGGATCCCTCCCTTCCTACCATCTTCTGTGGAGATTTCAATACGGTTGTTGATTCCGACATGGATCGTTTGGGCTGTAATCCTTCCTCATAGTGGTCGTATAATTGGCCACAGTCTTTGGCTGTTCTTACTTCTGAGCTGGATTTGGTTGATGCTTGGCGCATTCGTCATCCTTCTGCTCACGAATATACTTGGCGTCGTCCAAATGGTCTTCAAGCTTCACGTTTAGATATGTTTTGGATCTCTTCATATCTAATGGAGAATGTACAGCAAGTCGACATTTTACCTTTTTCCGATCTGACCATTGTTATGTTTACTTACGTCTAACTATTCCTTCCATGCCTAAACGTGGTCCTGGTACCTGGAAGTTCAATTCTTCTTTGTTAAAAGAAGTCAATTATGTCACTGCATTTTGGAACGCCTGGAAATTACTACATTTTGGAACGCCTGGAAAAAAGAGAAAGATTCTTTTCCTTCTTTGGCTGTTTGGTGGGACACCGGGAAAAGGCTAATTCAACATATGACGCAGCGTTACTGTTCAAAACAAGCTCAAGCTTGTCGGTTGCGATGCAGATCTTTAGAGCATACATTAATACATCTTGAAAGAAGGTGACGTAACGGTGAAGATGTTGATGCGTGGATCATTGAAGCGCGATCTAACCTTGAACTTGAACATTTAAGCATAGCAGACGGCGCAAGAATCCGTGCTCGAGAACAATGGGCAGAAGCTGGAGAAACATCATCTTCTTATTTTTTACACCAAGAAAAATCGCGGGCTATAAAGAAACAGTTCACTGGTATAAAGAACGCTCAGGGTGCGGTAGTTCAATCCGTCTCAGCTATCATTCGTGTTTGGTGTATCTTTTATGTTCAACTTTTTACTGCTGCTGTCCTTGTTCCAAGTGATCAAGATTTTTTTATCAATTCTTTAGCCCATTCCTTGTCCCCAGCCGAAGCCAATCTTTGTGATGGTATTGTTACAGAAGCAGAATGCTTGAAAGCTTTATCCAAGATGAACTCAAACAAATCTCCTGGTGTGGATGGCTTATCATATGAATTTTACTCTTCTTTTTGGTCTGTCCTTGGAGCTGATCTTGTTGATGTGCACAATAATTGTTTTTCTACTGGTTGTCTATCTTTTGCCCAACAGACAGGTTTAATTACATTACTTTACAAGAAAGGTGATAAGTTAGATACTAAGAACTGGCGTCCGATTTCCCTGTTATGTACAGATTACAAAATATTGGCCAAGGTCCTGACCAATCGTCTTCTTCTTGTTCTTCCTACCATTGTAGACCTTGAGCAAACCTGTGGAGTCCCAGGTCGATTCTCAAGTGAAAACGTCAGAGTTCTTAAAGATATTATTGATTATGATAACTGTTCCAACATTGGTGCTGCTACTATATCCTTGGACCAAGAGAAACCTTTTGATCGTGTGGATTGGAATTTCATGTTACGGGTGTTGGAGCAAGTGAATTTTGGTTCTTCTTTTCGTTCATGGGTCAAGTTACTGTATTCGAAAAATTAACGACTACGTTAGTGATCTGTTTCCAGTTACTTGTGGCGTCCGGCAAGGTTGTCCTTTATCCCCTCTTCTCTATGTATTAGTTGCTGAAACGATTGCTACGCTGACGACACAAATATCTTGGTGCGTTCAGATGCCTCTCTTCGTGCAATTTTTTCTCTTTTCGAACGATACGAGCATGCCTCTGGTGCTAAATTAAATGTGAAGAAATCACATGGCCTTTTGATTGGTTCTTGGAAAGACCGGACAGATTTACCTGTTCCTTTGAATTGGTCGAATGTATCTATTACTGTTCTTGGATGTCAGATTGGCAATGAAGTATCTGTGGATTGGGATGGTCTTATCGGCAAGTTTCAGGATCAACTTTGTCTTTGGCAGGGTCGGCATCTTTCCTTCCGTGGTCGTGCATTAATCGCGAATGTCCTTGGACTTAGTCTTTTCTGGTATCATGCCACTGTTTTTGATGTGCCCACACTCGTTATCTCACAAATTAACAAGTTGCTTTTTCCTTTTGTCTGGGGTAAGAAGAGAGAATGGATGGCGCGTGCCTCAGTTACTCAACCTCTGGCTGCTGGCGGTTTAGGAGTTGTGGACGTATCTAGGAAAGTAACATCCCTCCGTTCTATTTGGCTTGGTCGATTTCTAACTGTTACCAATCCTCACCCTTGGTCCAGTTTCTTTGATTATCATGTATCTTTGGTATTTAACGATCAAGATGTCCTCCAGTTATTGGCTCGTGATAATATTCCTGCATACCGTGTCAGAAAGTTACCTCCCTTTTATGCTTCCTTGGTGAGAGCTTGGATTGATGTAAAAGGCATGAAAGTTGGTCAACTTTGGGTCGTTCCTCGTCCACCACTTGATCCTCTTCCAGTTGCTGAATTTAGCGCTCGTAGTGCATATGGTTTATTGTCTAAGTATCAACATACTGATCATCGTTCGCTGGCAAAGTTTCGAGATTGGGGTTTCTCTGTCGAGTGGAAACGTGTCTGGGCAAGTCTTCTTTTGTGGAAGTTTGTTCGCTCCGTTGAAGATACCGCGTGGTTATCTTTTCATGGTATCCTCCCAACTGCCGACCGTCTTCTGCATTTCAAGATGAATGTCAATCCCTCCTGTTTCTGTGGTCAACCTGAAACTTTGGTCCACCTTTTTACTTCTTGTCCTTTGGTTCGTGATCTTTTGGTGTGGTTTACGCTGCAACTCAATCGATATGATCCCTTGGTCATTCTTACTGATGGTGACATTCTTTTTGGTTTTTCTTCTGCGTCGAGTATTCCATTGGTCTTCTCTGCGTTATTCGGAATTCTTCAGCATCAAGTGTGGTTGGCACGTAACAAGCACCGTTTTGAGAACATTGCTCCGTGTTCACAAGCTTCTTTACGTAAAGCTAAGTCCACCTTTCGCTTTATGGTTCGTTTGCAGAAACGTCACAATCCAGTTGGTCAGTTTACACATGAATGGTTAGCTGATGGTATTGTTGGGTCCATTACAGATCAAGGCTGGATTCATTTTGCGTGTGATTTTATCATGTGACGTCCTTTTTGTGTCCCTAGGATACGGGGGTCGCCTTTATTGGATGTTACTACCGTTATTCTAGGGATTAGTAATATGTTTGATTGGTATAACATGTTTGTCAGGTCATATGTTCGTTGAAGTCAGCCATGTCACTTCTTCGCAACTGTCATGTGTTTTTGGGATACGGGAGTCGCCTTAGAGGGGGGTTGCTGCAGTTATTCTAGGGATTAGTATTTTGTCTCTTTTGGGATGCGGTGGTCACCTTCAGTGGTTGTGCTGCCGTTATTCTATGGAGTGTCTCTTGTTTCAAATCAAGACAGAAAGGTGTTCTTTTTTAGACATTTTCAGCTATTCACAAAGCTTCTGTTGTTGAACTATTTGTCCCATGTATGTGGAGTCCGTAATTCTATTGTCTTTTGGTGTCAATTATTTGTCAAGTTGTTATGTTCCGTAATTTGTTTGTGCATTGGGGCAGTGGTCTCCTTAGTTGGTGCACTGCTGTCGGGTTCAATGGTCTCCTTCATTGTGTGTACTATTGTTCCCTGATCTGGAGTCATTGCTCATGATGATGACATCATCAATAGTCTGTACCATGTCTGAAACCATTCACCATCGTAGGTTTTAGGGATCCCTGGGCGTGAAGGTGTTAGTACAGCATCTGATCGTTCAGGCCATTCATGGTCGCATCATGGCACAAGGGAGAGAGTCATACTCTCTGACGATCTGCGTCGCTGGGCGGCCTTTCTGGGTGCGGCGATATCACAGGGTTCAGGCTCCATTGCACCATCGGAGTCAAAAAGCCCTTCGTCGTTCAATTCAAAATAAGATCAAGTGTTTAATTTTTTATCTTATTTTCCGTCTATTTTAATAAATTATTATACTAAATTAAAGATAAAGTTCTGGTGCACATTGTAATATTTTCAAGTTGGATATTATTCGTTATTTGAAGTTATCTGCTGGTTTTTAAACATTATTGGATTATTCTACTGTTGCTCTCGCTGTAAAATATATTATTTGGTTTTTCTATTATAACTTTTCATCTGCTGGTCGGATTCAATTCAAATTTGCTGTGTGGATTGTGATATGTCTCTTCTTATATTGTCATTGTTTGGATTGTTATTTGTGTGTCATTCGTAAATTTTATACTGGCTTTTAATTTTCGTCTGTTGGTTTATATTTGAATAAATTATTACATCAGAGTTTGTATTATTATTGATCTTTGTTCGTCGGTTTCTCGTTTATGGTTCATCATTTGTGAAAATTGTCGACGGATTTGGATTTATCTCGCCAGTTGGAACATTTTGATATATTATTTGTACTGTATTGTCGATTATTTTGCGAAATATCAATACCTTGGAGTTTAGTGCGTGAAGTCAGTGTATCACTGTTTATTTCCCGTCAGAGTTTCGTATTTCGTTTGTATCTTTCGTGTTGTTCGTGATATACTCTTATAACTTGGCTAATATATAGTTACCATGGTTACCTTGATCCCCAAAAAGTCTCAGAGTTATATCTTGAAAGGGCTTTGAATTACGGCGTGTTTTCTGGATTTCCAACGGTCATTCTACTTCGAATTTCCCGGTTAATTAGATATTCAGTTTCTGATTAAAACTCTTTCTCGACAGGTCCCTATTGAATAAATCACTCATGATTTACTCATTTTTGCGGTTCATATATTCAGTTCGGTAAATGCTACGTGGACCAAAATACCACCATTCGATTCAGTGTAACGATAGCTACTCATTCCTATCGATAGATTTAGTGAATGGCAACATTATAGCGATTTATGAGCTTTGAAAGTCAAACGAGCTCGTATATGATCAAATTACACAATATTACTGACAAATTATAAACATAAACATACCTTTCGCCAAATATAACTTCGTCCCATTGAGACGTATGCTCATTCTGATAGTCTTGATGAATTTAGAAGTTAAAAATAACACGTATAGTGTTATTTTCAAGCTTCTATCTTTAAAGTTCGACATTTAGTGCCGAATTTTGTATTTCTGCTCCGAATATGCGTTAATCCCAACCGGAAATACAACGAAAAACCGTCAAAACAATGCTACGCTTGTATCGCGTGACTCTGGAAATGCCAGAAATGGATTCTACAGGTCAAAGTGCACCCATACGCGTGAGTTTTACGTCATCCCGGCTAAAGGGAGCTCCTTATTGGCCAAGTATTACGTAATACAAGCGCGTGCTAGTAAAACCCGATACTTTAAAAATTCAAAATAAATATTTCTAGTCGGCGTATACATACGAAACTTTCTACACGAAAGCGTTTGAATACAAAGAGTATTTTACACATATATCCTTTCAGGAAATGACACCAAAGTTTAGAATATATTCAACTTTTTCTCATTTTCTCGTTTGAATGTTTGGCGAAGCGGTGAGTATAAATATATGATTGTTTCGGTTTGTGTAATGTTTTGACGGCACTTGACCCCCCGTTCGAAAGGTTATATTGTGAGGATTTCAATGGTGGCATTTATTTAAAAGGGGGGTAAATACTCGCCGAGATATTTATATTAGAAAAATTGAATCGAAATGTAATACGAAACAGGTTGTCGAGAAAGAGTTTTAAAGCACGTACATGGGGATTCCCCACATTTATCGTTATTCTGCATTCATTAATGGCGTCTGATGTATTATTCTAATTAGCCGGTGTTTTATTGTGCGTTATTGTTATCTGTTACGTATTTGTACTATTTATTTGTTTTTTATGCTTCATCAGTAACAATGTCTATGGATGATTCCCAACAAAGGTTTATCAAATGCCCAGACTGTGATTTTATATCACTTTCTCAAGGTGGTCTTGGAGTTCATCGCTTTAAGCGACATAAAATAATAATTCCAGATGATGTTAAGTCCCTGTATGTCGAACGTATTTTTCCCCGAAGGGAAACCTGTCTATTGTTGTCTATGTGATGTCACAATCGGATCAATTGCTAATTTCAGAAGGCACGTGAAAAATAAACATACCGGTATTAAACTATTTGAATCGGCTAAATGTAGCATATGCGTCGTGGCGTGGGCGTCCACCTCCAACGCAATCACAAAATAGGATCTAACAATTCATACCCTCATTCTCCTACCCCAGTCATGTCCTACACCGACAGAGACAATTCCAACACCCCCCGGAGTGGTCGTAGATCGAGAAGAAGATCCAATTTACCATCATCCACGTTTAGCCGGGATTCCTGTCATATGCATGATTCCAGCGCATTAAGTTCCATCAATCCCTATGAGGATTTTTCTGACAACGTTCCTGTGCAGCGTCAATCTTCCCCCATTAATCTTAATCAGTCCCTCAACCCCCCTGACCCCATCCCTCACCCTCCGTTTTCCATTCCCAAAGATCCCATTAACGACACCCCCCATCCAATCCTCATGGATTTAGACCCTGATGACGACCCTGATGAAGATTCACTGTATTCCACGCACTCCCCTCCTAGACCAACCATCACCAATCCCCACCACACTTCCCTCATTCAGCAATCTCCTGAATCACCGGTCGCCTTTAAGTGGTTGTACTAGTGTGATCAGCGATATTCCGTCGCTGTCACCGGTCCCCCCTCCCGAAAGGATCCCCTCCCAACTTCCGCCAAACCCTCCAGTGTTTCCCTTAACTCTTTGACGACCATACGGTTTCGCATTACATTACGACTTAATTTTTCTATTGTAAATATCTCGGCGAGTATTTACCCCCCTTTTAAATAAAAGCCACCATTGAAAGCCTCACAAAATAACCTTTCGAACGGGGGGTCAAGTGCCGTCAAAACATTACACAAACCGAAACAATCATATATTTACTCACCGCTTGGCCAAAGATTCTGAATTTCATATCCAGATAATCTTGAATATCTCTTGAACTTTTCGTCATTGTCTGAGCGGCTATATGTGTAAAGTACTCTTTGTATTCAAGCGCTTTCGTGTACAAAATTTCGTTTGAATACGGCGAGTAGAAATATTTATTTTGAATTTTTCAAGATGTCGGGTTTTTACTCGCACTTGCGTACATTGCGCAATAATTGGCCAATAAGAAGTTCCTGTGGCCGGGATGACGTCAAACTCACGCGTGTAGGTGCAATTTGACCTTGCGAACCATTTCTGGCCTTTCCAGGGTCATATGATACAAGCTTCGCATTGTTTTGACGGTTTTCAGTCGTATTTCCGGTTGGGATTAACTCACTTCGAGCTCACAGTCGGACAAGAAATGGAAATATATTGATAAAAGATACAGATTTAAAGATACAGGCTTGCAAGTAACACTCTAAGTAGTGTTTTTAATGGGGATTCTAACAAGAATATTACAAAGATGATATGTTCGAAGGGGCCGAAGTTATTTTCGGCGAAAGGTACGGCTAGTCTATATTTTTGTTCAGACAATTGCGTAATTTGAT